CTGGCCAAACTTGGCCTCCAAAGCAGTCCTCAACTGGTGCTCCAGCGAAGGGCTTTGACAGTGGTCCGGGTTCAGGGTTTAGAGTTTAGGGTTTAGGTGTTAGGATGTAAACTGAAAGTTTTTCTTACACAGACCATAGCGCCAAATTGAACCAAACGGTATGTTTTTCCATCGCTGTTGGGGTCTGTTGCTGAGATAATATTATATCATATTTTCATGACATCATAGTATATTATATTATGTTGTCTTACGCCATATTCTGCTAGGCTATATTATTTTATGTATATGTATATGTCTGCGCGCGCTCCCCTTCCACAACAAAAACTAAAACTATGAACATCATCCAGGCCCTATGCCATTCCCACATAATGCTCCTGAACCTTCTTTAGAGAACTCTCTAGAAGGAAGCCTTCAAAGGAACCTCTGTTCGAATTACTAACCGTTGGAACCTGGAAGCCTCAACTTCTCTTGACGGCTGGTTCGCCTGAAAATCCTAAACCCAAAGCCCGAAACCCTACACCCTAAACCCATAAACGCTGCACCCTAAACCCTAAAGTGTTGAACCCTAACATCTAAACCCTAAACCTCAGCCTCAGGAGTATGTCGGTGGCTGCACTACGGCCGAATGTCAGATCCTTGGCTGCAGCCAAACTTAGGGATTGGGGCTCGGTGCAGGCTGGGGTTTGGGGTTTCGGGTTTGGGTTTGTTTGAGGCTTAGGGGTTAGTTTAGGGTTTAGGGGTTCTGGGTGGTGGGTGGTTTGGGGTTTCGGGTTTCGAGTTAAGGGCCTGGGTTTAGGGTTGTTTAAGTCTTGGGGTTTGGGGTTTAGGCTTAGGGTGTAGGGTTGTTGCGGTTTCGGGTGTAGGGTCTATGGAGAGTTTGATGTTTGCGCTGAGCCAGAATCGCCAATTAGGACACACAGTCCAAACCCCAAACCCGAAGTTATCCATGTCAAAAGCCCGAGCCGCTGAAAAAATGCGGACGCTGCAACCTTTAGCTTGAACCGGTGTTGATTCTCGTTGTGCAATGTAAGGGGTTTGGGGCTCAGGGTATAGGGCCAGGGGTTAGGGATGGTTATCTACCGATACAGCAGGAGGCCAAGGACGCCAATGTATCCTGGTCTAGAGGAAACTCAGATCCCCAAAGCCTTAATTGGGATCTGCCAAGCCGGCCTTTTGGGTCTTGAGCTCCCTAAACCTCAAACCCTGTAGTCGTTATTCAAACGTTTGCATGCAATGTCGAAGCCTGAATAAGTTCCACTATTATTCGCAGGGATTCCCAACATAGGTTAACGAAAAGAGAAGTATCACCCGAAAACACAATTTCGTTTATCAATTTTGGGTTAGAGAGCCAGGGTTTCTTCATCAGGTTCCTGCAGTATGGTTTAAAGTGAACATCAATGGAAGCCAAGGCAAAAATATAATAAAGACCGCAGGTACGGCTCTGAGTATTTAAACTCATGGCAGTGTGCCTTATAATTATAGCGCTTATATAGTACCATCATAGTCAAAGCAACCCATATAGCACCATGGACCATCCTAGTATGCTTATTGTACCCCTTGCAGCGCCCTTCTAGTGCACCCTGAGCCAAGGACCTTGAATGATTGTCACGCCAAGTGCAGCGATTGCACTTCCTGTGTGGCTGTGCAGCTCGGCAGAGTGAGCCCCGCACTACCCTGATGTAGGGACCTTAGTAATTAGAATAGGGCTTTGGGGTATAATATATTATAGTTATTATAATCAGAATAGGGATTTGAGGTATACTGTATTATAGTTATAATAACGAACCCTCCAAAATAGTATAGGTGCTTTTTTAGGCCCTACATTAAATTCAGTTAGAGGGACCTGGATGGACCTGGGTGTTCGATGTCCGATTATAGCTTTGAGTTGTCTTCGGCAAAAGCCCAAGGATATGTGTTTCCGCATGGTATGTACCTATAGGCCTATAGCTGCTCCTTTTTAGTGGCGGGGGGTGCCTTTGGGGATTCTAGAAGGGTTTGGCAGGGATTTTTCAAGGGTTCTTTAAGGGTCCCCAGGTATCGAACCTTAAAGTACCTGTTTATGAACCACTTTCAAGACTGCATTCTTGGATGTATAGGTACATGGGCCCTTAGTGTAGGTTTTCAGGCTTGTGGGCTTCTTGGTGCGAACCCATGTTTTAAGTCCCTGTCCTTGAGGCCCAACTTTCGGAGGCCTCAAAACCCGAAACCTGAAACTCTCAAGCTTAAGCCAGCCCGATCCCCGACTTTGGGCTTTTTCTTATAACCTTGTAGAAATATATGATGATGTGTGAAACTGCGTTTTCATCATCAAGGCCGTTAAAATGAGCCCTTGCATATTCCTGTATAATAAAGCTCACTAGTAACTCTAGTACAGAACCCTATAGCGCTAAGAATGGTCAGATAACCGCAGCAAGCAACAAGAACATCATGATTTTTCATCAGTGTGATGGGAACAATGGCAAGTGCCCACAATTTCATGAGGCCTCAAGGAGAACTCCCACATCCTGATCCCCCTTTACCCCTACACCCCTAAACCCCTAAACCCTAAACCCAAATCCCCAAACCCCTAAACCCCTAACCCTAGACCCCTAAACCCTAAACCCCTAAACCCCTAAACCCCTAAACCCCAAACCCCAAACCCCTCAACCCCTAAACCCCTAGCGTCCAGACCTTCAAACCCTGAACTCCGAGGCCCTCTTGCCGAGTCTAACCCGGAAGCCTATAAACCCTAAAGCAGCTCTACTAGAACATCTAACCCCTTTAGGGTTTAGGGATTGGGGTTTAAAGTTTCGGGTTCAGGGTTTAGGGTTCAGGGATTAGGGTTCAAAGTTTGGGTTTTTGGGTTCAGGGTTTGGGTTCGCGGGTTTCGGGTTTCAAGTCTAGGGCTAGCGCCCTAAGCCCTGAACCTAAGCGTCTCTGCGGAACCCTTAAGGTACCCTTAAAGTAAAGGAACCCTTAAGGCAACCCTTAAGGTACTCTAAAAAGAGTCCTTCAGGGGTCCGCAGGTCTTTAAATTAAAGGAACCCTTAAAGCAACCTTTAAGGTACTCTATGACAGAGTCCTCTATGGGTCTGCAGGTCCTTAAGGTACTCTTACATGAACGGAACCCCTATAATGCAACCTTTAAGGTACTCGAAACAGAGCCCTCTATGTGGGTCTGCAGGTCCTACTTCGAGGATGGTGCCCAAGGCTTCCGCTGCCACATGATCGGCCCAGCGCTGCAGCGCTTGAACCTCGTGGAGAAGCTGGGCCTTGAAGTTATAGGGTTTTGGGTTAGGGTTTAGGGTTCAGGAAGAGGGCTTATCTGGGGTTCTGATAGGGATTAATAGGTTTTTGTATGGCTTTACAGGATTTTTTATGGGTTTGAAGAGGGTTTCAATTGGGGTTTAATCGGGGTGTATAGTTTTGATAGGAGTTTAAGGAAGCGTAACATGCAATATTAGTGATAGCAGATAGCAACTTGTAGAGACGCTGGGCCTTGAAGTGGAGTCAACGAGGTTTCCAATTTAGGGAGTAGGGCTGTAGGATGTACGGCTAAAAGACTCTGACCCCGAGCCCTAAACCCTACAGCCCTGACCTGAAACCATGTGAGACCCGAATTTCCCATTGCAGCGGTTTAGGAGTTACTTTAGAAGCCTCAACAATTAGCAATATTATTCCTTAGGGTTCCTGAATATAAATAATACTATAAAGGAGCCGAAAACCCTATTCTCATGGAAAACCCCCCTACATTACGGTTCCTGCTTACGGGGTGCGGGAAGCTTCTGCAGTCGAGGGTGCTTCTTGGCTATTTCGGCGTCTTTGGCTGAGTTTAGCGTTCAGGGTTTGGCGTTCGGGGTTTAGGGTTTAGGGTTTCGGGTTTGGGTGGGGTTTAGGTGCTTGGTCGAGGTCTTGTACCCCTGGCTGACAGTAAGGGCGCGATAAACCCTAATGGGTAACAGCCCTGGATCGCAACCTCGAGCCCCCTCAAAACGAATTAATTAAGGCCTGCACCGGCGAACCCCACAACCCTTAAACGGATTGAAGACCGTCTGCCAGAAGACATGCCCGCAGGTCGCACGTCGGAAGGTCAGAGAATCACGGCGTTTCAGTTTTTGGGGTTTGCGCTGAAACTTTAGATTTCGGATCTGCAAAGACAAGCAGTTTACAGTTGTCATGAGTCGCTCTAGCAGGTGATCTTCACCTGTCGCTTCGCCGCCAAATTCTGGACCCTGCCAGTTTTACACCAACAAGACTAGCACGAGACCATTATTCTTTGAGGTTTCAGGGTTCATTTGTCACGTTTAGGGAAGGTCGCAGCAAGGGCTTGGGGCTCGCTTTTCGCGACAAGCTCGTGGCGAGAGCTTGGTGGTCTTTGCCCGCGGATGAGACCGTCGCAAGGTCCACAAATAGACACAAACACAGATATATATATATATATATATACACACACACTGTATATAAACACACACACACACACACACATATATATATATATATATATGAGGGTTGTTCTAAACCCCCGGCTCTTGACCGTAGACTAGCAGCGCACTTTAATATTTGGATTCAGGTTTAAGACATGCTCTAA